TGCTGTTCTCACAGAATCAGCCCATGCAAAGACAGTGTTACATTGAGCGAAATGAGGAATGGCTAAAATGCATGATCTGTTTGGTATTTTGAAAAATAAAAAGTATAAATATGCCTTATATAGGTATGGTCCTACACTATATTATTCAAATATAGCATGATAGGTCCACTTTAAATGTGGTTGGGTGTATAGTAGATGCATACTTTTATGAGCCAATACTGAATGCCGATCAAGAAGTTGAGAAATTGAGAATTGGCACTTTGACAGCCACAACAAAGGGGGGCGTAACACATATAGTTTGTCGGTTTATCCTCGAACCACCTCAGTATTAAAGATAAAGAAATAGATGGAAACCAGCATTGGTAGGAAAACATCACAAGTCATTAGGCCTGTGACTTGTAGAGAAAACATGGGTTGCCTGGAATTGACAGTCTAAAATATTGTTTTAGTTCCAACTTTAACTATCTAAAATATATTGAAGGTTAAAACGATGCACACCATGAAATGAAGGTGTCTGAGGACTTATCTGATGATCACAGAGGAAACGTGACATTCAGGTTAGATGATAATGGTCAGTTAGCTGTGGTCAAGATCCCAGATGTATTTGTTAAAAGAGTGGTTAGAAAATGCATGAATATTCTGAGATCTAGACTATCATGCTCTTCAACGGAGTGAAAAACTGACCTTCAATTATCTTTCCTTGTGCATCAAGTTCTCCACCTGCATGAATGAAAAAATGTTGTGCCATCAAATCTATTTAAAAACAATTGCAAAGCTGAATTTTGTTCATCTTACTTATCATTTGCCTTTCAAAATATGAATGATCTAAGGAACTTACCTTCGATAACTCTTGTGACCTTGGTAATGATAGGCTGTCCTTCAAAGACCCTGGTTGATGAAGACTCCCCCGTGATGAGCCGGGTCACTTCTGTGTTCCTGGTTTCTCCACTGAAGATCATCGTAGTGATGGCAGGTTCTGTCTCGATGACTCTTGTAACCTTGGTAATGGATGGGTGTCCTTCAATGACTCTTGTAACCTTGGTGATGGATGGCTCCCCTTCAATGACTCTTGTAACCTTGGTAAAGGAAGGCTCTCCTTCAATGACTCTTGTAACCTTGGTGATGGATGGCTCCCCTTCAATGACTCTTGTAACCTTGGTAAAGGAAGGCTCTCCTTCAATGACTCTTGTAACCTTGGTGATGGATGGCTCTCCTTCAATGACTCTTGTAACCTTGGTAATTGTAGGCTCTCCTTCAATGACTCTTGTAACCTTGGTGATGGTAGGCTCTCCTTGAATGACTCTGGTCACCTTTGTTTCAGGAACTGTAAAGAGGGATCGGGAACATGAGTGCAACTTAAAGGAAAGCTTCCCCTGAAATAAACAGTATTTTCGCTGTAGTATGAGCATTTTAAATGGTAAGATTTTTGCAAAAATACATGTTTTTTGGAAAGTATTGAACATACAACTGAATAAAGGAGACTTGGATTAAACATGCATGAGTGAACGTTTGGATACTTGATCCAGTTTTGCTATTATTAAACGCAGCACCTATTTTTTTTCTTTGGTTAATTAAGACTTATCTTCAATTTTGGATTATTCGTCTATCATGGTTTTCTTCACAAATTCAAGGCAACAAGGGTTGAGTTATTGATATACCTATAATAGTTTTTAAGGTGATTACAAAAAGGAAGGATATCTTTTCAGCACTCCCACATTCTTTCTATAATGAGCGAAGAATGAGGCATGAGGATCAGTATGGGAAGTTATCAAAGCAGGCAGAACAAAGGCAGGCTAATGTCTGTAGGATATTACATTGCAGGTTCTTATTAACCGCTGATACGCTCCATGGTCCAATAAGCTGCCCCCTTTGGACAGACTTAATTTTCTTCTCCATTAGATGAGTTTAAAGAATCAAATTATAACCTTGTTCAAATTATAATATATATTATAATATAAATCACTTGACATGTTACATAATCCTCTTGTGACAGTACTGGTTCCCAGAAGAAGCCACAGAAACAGCTCCCAACCACACACAAGGAAGAAATATTTACTTGGAAAAACAAAACCCACATGTGCCCTTAAAATGAAAATTGCCTCCCAGCTAACTATAACAAATAAACGCCTATTTGCTACCAATGAAATGTGCATAAACTCTTGCACAATTACTACCAATAAAATCTGCCCTGATGCAGGGTACAGCTGAAAGAGGTTTTTATTAATTCCAGAGATGGATCATTATGTCCTGAGTGTACAATTCTCTACCTCTCTTAAGCCATAAAGAAAGGCCAGCGTCACAGTCTGATTGGCCAAGAGGGGAAATGCAAAGCTGCTCACAGTTCTTAATCAGGAGCCTATCTCCACATGCTGTGCAACATGGAGATATCAAAAATAACCCTTCAATCAACTCAGGGGAATTTGGATATTCAGCTGTATTGAATTGGGAAACCGGAAAAGGGAAATGACAACACATCAACTCATCTTTTGAATCAGCTTCAACAAGAACTTTTTCTTTCATTTATTTTAAAATGTATACTTCTGAGCGATGATTTTGTTAAGTGACAGAATTCATTTGAGTTGAATGCTGACGGATGTTTGTTTGTGTTAGTCTAATCGTTGGCCTGAGTACCATTGAGATGGTCTTCCAGTAATTAGAACCAGACTCAGGTCTGATAAAAATTAGGAAATGTATGTCATTAAAACTGTGGCTTCTTTCCCTATGAGTAAATCATAATAGAAATATAAACATGATGTGGACAATAGGTTATTCCTCCTATGATCCAAACTAAAGATAATATATTTATGCAACTTTTAATTCAGTGTGTGTGTGTGTGCACGTGTGTGTGTGTGTGTGTGTGCACTGTGTGTGTGTGTGTGTGTGTGTGTGTGTGTGTGTGTGTGTGTGTGTGTGTGTGTGTGTATAAGTGCACATACAGTAGGTGTGTGTATATAAAGTAGGTATTGTCCAGCGTTTTTAACCACTTAATGTATAGCATATCAAAATGACGAAGAACTTTTCATATTCAGAGATTTCAACTGTTAAACATTTAAGAATTTTGAATTTATGGCCTAAAATATCAACCCCTAGAAATAAAACCTCTCTTGTAAGCTCAGATCTTGGCCTATATAGTCCATATATTGTGCCTAATTAACTTTAAAGAACCAGACTCTATCCCTCCTATGTTATCTAATACATTAAGGCATGCTCCACATCCAGTCCAGCGCACATTCGTCTGTGTGAATGTGCACTGGACTAAGCCCATCTAAATGAACAACATCCACTTCCTCTATGTTTTCTGACCCTGTTATGCTTTGACAGCCTCATTACCTCATCCCTGAAGGGGCTAATTAAATATAGCAAGGGGTCCAAGTGGACTTAAGCAAGAGTGAGACAGAATAATCAAAATGAAAAAAGAAGAGAACCAGAGAAGACCCCTGAATTACGCAACGACATGTTTGTACACATGTGGCTGCAGCATGTATTTCACTTTGAAAACAGATGCTCATTTTAAGACAAAGGTTTTGAAATCAAAGGAAGTCATGTCTTGAATAATCACATAAAAAAGATAAATATAATTATTGATCATAAAAGCTTCTCTTTTAATCATGTGGTTAGTGAAAATGGTCTTACTTGTTTCATGATAATGTGTAGTTGTGATGGTTCTCTCTGTGAAGTGACATAAGAAGCTTGTTACAAATGAAATATTCACACATCACGCAGAGACAGTGGATGATAAAGAAACTTACTGAAGAATGTGACTGGGATCTCCTTGTACGAAAATCCAGAAATATACTGAAAAGGGCACAAAAGGAGAACATTTATAAGACACACATTTTCTTTGATACACCTGTGCCCAGACATATGTGTATTTTCTCTTTAGCTACCCTTATCTGGATGTACTTAATCAGCTTCTTCAGGAGGACCATGAAGTCCTGGCGGCCCACAGGAAGGTCTGTAAGTAATATACAGCATCAAAAGAACATAACTTATTGCCTCCCAGCACACAGTGTACATTGCATGATTTTATTTTAACGTTCTCACCTGCAGGATAGAGAACATTCTTCACCACATGGATCACACCATTTGTAGCCATCAAATCGCTGTTGGGCACATCCACCGAGTTCACATTAATAGAGTTGTTAACCTTGGTAAAACGAGGGGAAATGAATGATGCATATCTTTTAATTGGGGGTAAACATATTCAAAAGTTGGTGAGTTATGTCAAATACTGCCGAAAAAACATTGTCAAACTGGCCCCAAGTCATTTTGAAAGGGTTGTACAATAGAGGTTTTGAACCGAGGTTTTTAATAAGGATCCCATGCACTGTGCTCTGTTATTGGATGTGCTGTATGGAATTCCATTCGTGATTGATTTCCTGCAATTTAAGGTGGATATGACTTAAGGTGGACAGGCTGAGTCTGAAAGGGATAGGGTTACCTACTCCTCTAGCTCCTCTTTTCCCTTATCACCCACCAAATTGAGCCACATCAGTAGATAGGAGGCCCAATTGAGGTAATAAGTGAAATGATGATATACAATAGCTGACATTGAGGCTGCTGAGCAACAGCAAGGCAGACAGAGTGGCAGGTGGAGGGGGGGCAGCCATGGGTGAACAAGGACAGTGGGCGTCGATGGACATGAGCCAGGTTTTAAAAGTTCTGGCCGTTCTCCAGAGATATCCAGCTTTGAAGATATAGATTAGCACTGGCTCTTTGATGCTATTGTTTGAATGCGAACGAGTGGAAAGACTGGGTTAAGGACTCACAATGGAGGCTTTGAGAAAAGGGAACAAATGTGTGTCGGTTTTATGACCTTAAAGAAAACATTGTTATCCACTCTGCTTCTTGTTAAATTAAGCCAAGATAAGATATTATTTTATTGATACCAAGAGGGTAAATTCAATTGACAATTCCTAGAGTTTACAGAGGGCCTTTTTTCAATCAAAATTGGGCATGAACTGTTTATAATGTATTGACCTCCATGTTTGTAACAGTAATAGTTTTTCCGACTGACGGTTTATCCCTTTTTGATGGTTACATGACAAATTCAGGAAATGAATTCTGTCTTTTTTCATTCTGAGGACAAACACACTTAAACAAGGGCTGATTGTACATACAGAAATAACTTGGAGGTTACTGCCCTGCAGGGTTTTGAGCAGGTTGGTAACTCCTCCCTCTAATCCTCCATTGATGAAGATGCCATTACTGAAGTGGTACAGGAGAATGGTCCTCAACGCATTCAGATCACCTGTAAGTGACAGCAAAAGACATCATTTACATTCTGTAAAGGGGAGTAAGCATGCTTCACATTTTTCTCCTCTCATTTCTGGCTTACATAACTTCAGAACAACCTAGCTTGATTGCTATTGCATCATTTTCAAAAGGGAGACGCATGAAAGGAAGTGGATGTCCGTCGTTTGATTGGAGAACTCACTTTTCAGAAGAGCAAAGTCCTCTTTACTGAGACCTTCAAAGGCATCATCAGTTGGTGCAAAAATAGTGTGGGAGCCTTTCTCCTTTAGCAGATCAGTCAGTTCTGCTGTCTCCATCATCGCCAGGAAAATCCTACATTTTTTTTTAAAAGTAAAGGAGAAAGTCATCCATTCAGAAAGTTAAGATAAGGTACAGTACTGTATGAGTAAAATACACACAAATCTAAGAGAAGTGTGCAGGTAAAGGAAATGGTTAATGAAACTGATGATGATGAAATAGAAGTAAAATTCACACTATTTGAGCCAGCACTTTTTGTAAATTTCAGTTTTTCATCCAGCCCTAATTACTGTGTGTCAGACTGCATGAACTCTAGCCAGTCAGGACATCAACTTTTTCTCCAACAGGAAAGAACGGCTCTGCATTAATGGCACATTGAGTCCTATGCTGAGAGGGGACCAGATTATATCTTACGTTTGATCCAAAAAACAGTAGGGTTTTTCTCCTTGTAGACAGGAGGATTATTGTTTTAGGAATATGATATGATGGAATTTGGGTTGTGTGGTCCCATTGATTCACACATCTGCTTCCTGAGTATTTCATCATTAGCTTGCGCTGGTGACGACATCTGTCATAGAGCAGCGAAATGTGAAAATACAATACATTCATTACTATAACATAAATTAGGATGTTAGTTTGTTCTTACTTGAACCGTCCGTCAGCAATCAGGAGATTGTAGATTGTTTTGTCAGCTGGTTTGATGAGGGAATTCATAAGATGGAGGGCACTATGGCTTCCCTCTTTACTGCCACGCACCATACATGAATTTTCAATGCACACAGCCTAACAAAGGACAATAGTTAGAGAGCAGAATTACTTGTTTTACAGTCACTGTACAAATGTGGTAACTATTAAGCTTAGGGGAGGGGGACTATTTCATTGTCTGGTTTGATTGCAATCAATAAAAAAAAAGAACACATACGTTTCTGCGAGGAAATTAAACCCAGGGGTTGATCATAATCTAACCACCAAGGCAGAACCCCGATTCATCTGCCAAGAGTTGGACTAATAAGCTGTTTTAATTCATTTGCTTAGAGTTGAACGACAGCAAAATCATGTTAACACTTTGTAAGAGGCCCAGTAATGTCTTTCAGATTTCCAATAAGTAAGCCAATGCTCTCCATTGTCTTTCCAAGACTTATGCTTTATCTGATTTTCCTGTTCCTTCCTGACACACACACACCATCACAAACACAAACATTGTACTCACAGTGCGGTAAATGAAGACTCTGAGCATTCTGCCAGCCAGTGTTTCCAGCATCTGTCCGTTATAGAGCTCACTCAGCGTAACTTTCAGCTTCAAGATGTGGTTTTCCAAAATGAATTTCAACAGGCTCTGGTCCGTTGACATCACCTCAGCTGGCAACCACAGAACAAAATAGTGATTTAAAATGACCCAAGTAATAAAATATGCCAGGCCTTACACATCTTTTCCTTTCTCTAAAGAGTGTTGAAAAGTCTAAAAATGAATTAGCACAATTTTGATCTATGCAACACATCTGATGATCTTTTCTTTATATGCTTTTTTAAACAGGAGTTATTTGGAGATGAACTCACTAGTGAAGGCAGTGTTGACTGGAGCAAGGAGTGTGTACTCTGTTTTCGAACCCAAGGCAGAGGCTAAGCCCAATTCGGACACCATGTTACTGAAAGTGCTCTGAGAGTCCCCCATCAGCTCCAACCCTTCCTTGGCTGGTATCAATCACATAGATAAAAAGATATTGGTTATCACAGCAAAAACATATAAAAGCAAATGATTTCAACAAGTATCCACTGAGGGAGAAAACCCCAGATGAGTTTTACCTGAGTTAGGGATGAGCACCTGGTCGATTAAGTGGATGACGCCATTGGTCGTGACTATGTCCTTCTTCAGCACCATCTTGATTCCATTGACTGTCAAACTGTCGCCATCACACCCAATTTCGATGGTGCTGCCCTCTTCGGTCTCAAACACAGACCCCGCCATTATTGCTTCAGAACACTGGACAGAGCTCAACAGGTGGTATTTCACCAGGGCTGGGTAGGTTGATTGAAGTGTGAGAAAGATGAACGGTAAGAAGAAGAAAAGTCACTGTTCACATTCTACACTTTTATAGACTTTGTGGGTTGACTCTAATTCTTGATTAATATTATAGGGCTCTCCAAGGTTTTAAGTCATTAATCAACACACATGCACATGGATAATATTTCAGTGCTTTTAAAAATATTTAGCCACTTCTGTTAACATTTACATACAGGATTACAGTACGTCTCTGACTGAGTTCAACTGTCAAACATTGCAATGCAAAAGCAATGCGATTACAAACCCCTTCCAAACCCACACAAATACAATTGCGATGGTTTTTGCACTTCAGCCAAATTACTCTTTGGCTCAAACCTTTTCCTAGTGAAACAATTCACAAGTCTCCATGATCTTTACTTTGGAGGCTGTTCTTACATGGTTGGTCTGCAGAGCCTTTTTGCCAAGTGTCTGAGAATTTATTTGAGGTAATATTGATTCCCCAGAGAACTCACGGAGGACACCGCAAACTGGCCTCATGTTAATATGCGTTCCTAGCGTGCCAGTGACTCAACAAATATGCGTTCCTAGCGTGCCAGTGACTCAACAAATAAGCAGATAGGCTACCACTGGTGAGACATAGGTCTTCAAATTCATTCTTTGGTTTGTGGGCTTGACATTTTTTTTAGTTTGTGCTATTTCTTTGCTCCGGAGAATTTATTAATTTGCTAAGTTTAAACATACTCTCTCAGGCTCTGTGATGACGAAGCTTAGCGATGAGATGCTTTGAGCTAAATGCTAATGTCAACAGGCTAACCTGTTCAAATTGACAATGCTAACCTGTCATGCTTTAATGACCATTTAGCAGTAAACATGAACTATAGCTGAGGCTTGTGGGAATAGCATTAGTTGCACAAGTATTAAACAAAGGAACATTTTACCCTGATGATGGCAGTATATGAGAAGTCAAGGGATCTCCAAAAAGATAACAATATATCCTGACGGGGACATAGATGTCTGAACCCAATTTCCTGGCAGTCTATCCTATACTTGTTGAGATATTTCACTAAAATACTAACCCAGTTTTACATAACTACTTTTTCTTGCAAAACTCTCTTTTTGATATGAAGATTTATTTCTGGATGATTGAAAAAAATGGAATCTGCTGCTGGCACTACAGGTGTCACTAAAGTCAGTAGGATTTATCCTCATTATGAGTCAAATGTCATGGCAAACCATCCAACATGTTCACTCCGGACCAAAGTAGTAAACTGACGGTGTGACTAGACAATATAAAAGTGCTCTAAACATCTGCACACTTAAATCTACCATAGCAAGCATATGTTAGTGGTTCATGCCATCGTTACTGTATCACATGTACAATGTACCTGCAATAACATCCTTGTCTCCCATGATACGCTCCAAGTAGCCTGGGTCCAATTTGTCAAAGGCTTGATCAGTGGGAGCAAAGAGAGTGAATTGTCCAGGCTCGCCCAGCTTGTCGAACATGCCAGAGTTCACTACCACATCCTGGATAACAAAAAACAGAATTTGTCCCACGTGTAATATGTCATCATATTGAGATGTATGATGTATTTATTTGTACAGATGTTCCACTTTAAGCATATTAGTCAATGTTGGCTTTGTAAACCATTTCAATTTAGATAAGATTATTTTACTTACTCTGAAGGAGGCGAGATCCTCTGTTACATCTAGGTATTCCTTGATGTTGTTGCCCACGCTGGTGATGACCCGATCAATGACATGCACCACACCATTTGTGGCCACCTGATTACCATGGATGATCCTGGCACAGTTTACTGTCACGATCTGAAGAGAGAGGACATTTTATAATAAGCCAAGACCAACATTAGGGTCAGAAATTCTTCACAGACATACTTAAATCATGTATTCATGTGTGCAATAAAAAAAGGTGCAAAAACGGACCCCATTTGAGTAGTGGTTGATGTAAATCCCCAGGTCGTTGTACATGGAATTCAAAGTCATGCCGTTCTTCAAGTCTTTGGTCAGAAGTCGGCGGTTAACCATGTGGTAGTGAAGAGCGTTGTACAATTCGATGTTCACGTTGTTCACCAGTGCCGCCCGTATAATCTAAGGATATCACAACATGAGTTAAAGGGCAGCGAGTTTCAGGTTATATTGTATTTATTTGTAATCCCATAAAAAACAACTTACAGGTTCCACCTGATCCCAGGCCTCGTTGCTAGGTGCAAACATAGTGAAGGAGCCTTCGCCTTCAATTTCCTCCTTCAGTTTGGACACGTCAGAGTATTGCTGTGTGGTCGAAGCCTTTACCAGCCCCAGCGTACCATAGACATGGTCAATAGGTGCCACTAGGGAAAAAGCAAGGGGTTGTTTCTGCTCAGAAAAAGTCTAAAGTAGGATTGAATTTAAATGTTGCATTGACTGAAAAAGAAGACCACAAAAGGGGCTGTGGTGAAGCCAATTACCTGCAGTACATCCTTTCGTGCCCTCCAGCTTAATGTACCCAGGACAGCATTCATATAGGACCATGCTTCAAAAAAGGAAAAAAGTACAAGTATAGTTAGACTTATAATGACTTGAGTTGAATTGTGTTGGAAGACATACAGTCAGAAAGATGTACATTATAATATTTATCTGTTTTTACAACTTCAAAAAGAAAACTAATGAAGAAAAACAAAAGAAGCTTGCCAAATAAAAGCAGAATTGACTGTAAAGAGGAAGAAAAACAACCTCCTGAGCTGTAATGGGAGAGAATGACGAGTGCTTCAATTGAGAACATTTGAGAAAGGAGACCACGGCTGCACAAAGGGGGGATTTTAATCACCAAATAAAAATCCATAATTGGACAGATCACATATAAAGGTCAAAGCATCAAGTAATGAAAAAAGCAAGCAAGTGAAGGAATATTAAAAAAAAAAGACAAGAAAAACAGCATTAACATGAAAGCGGTTCATTGAACTCTTGGCAGCACAACTCTCGGCAGGCCAATCACACAGGAAATCTGGACTGTACTCAGAAAGAATAAGCTTTAGACAAGCTTCAAGAGCCAGAAACATCACATCCAATAGGCTTTATCATGCAACAGAAATAAACCCAGCAAATGAAAAAGAAATAAAAACCCAAAGGAGATTAGTAAGAATGCCTCAAGCTCAAAAGCACTGAACTATATTCAAGAATATTGTTGAATAAAATACTGTTAAGGAGCCTTTCCACGAGCATAGTCTCATAAGGATACAGAAGGATAGCCTTTTTACAATGAAAACGTTGTAGTACTTATTATCTTAGATACTGTAACAGTTTTAACATGAAACCCCAGACAGGGGTGTCTGCTGCCCCCTTGCACTTTCTCTTGGCCATACATTTGATTCCAGAAGCGGCTTCCAAGAAAAACAAAATCTTGATATACTGTCGACCTCATGTCATCATGAAACAGATTTATGTTTTGGAGGCGAAGGTATAGATATGAAACATTTGCTCAAAGAAGGAGAAACATCCTGGCAGCCGAGAGGTTCTGCTAACACTAAACACACCAGAGGAATTGTGCAGCAAACCCATGTTCCTTAGTCGTCTGGTCTAACAGTAAATCTAATTTGTTGCAATGTTATGAATGACAAAACGAGGTGTGACCAACAAGAGAGTATTTCTTTTTTAAATGCGGCTTTAATATTGGAATAAATTATTTTTTCAAGTAAAGTTTTTAATGAAAACCAACCATAGGGCGTAAATCAGAAATGTTGACATTTTGTTGGGACTTATCTCAAACCGACACGAATCTTCCGAGAGGCAAAAAACTAGCAGTGACTCAACGTTGGACGCTCCACAATGATCTAGCAGAGAAACAGCCGTAGAGTTTCCAAATGCAGTAATAAGTGTGATGATTTATGGGTTGCAGTTGGAGCATCGGGTGTGTTTGCTGAAGAAGTTTGCATAGAGATGATTGGGTCACAGTTTTAAGGTTTACTCCTCACTGTTTTCCCATGGAAATACAACGCTTCTATATGAACTCTGTGCCTTCTTTCAATGGCTCTCATCCTAAACAAACAACTCTTTGTTTTCCATTCAGAAATGAACAGTGTTGATATACTATGCAAACACAAATCAATGCCTTCTTAGCTACCCTAAAAACATATACACAAAAGGCTAAATCACTCACTTTCTCCATTCAGTGCCCTCAAGTGACTCACATGATTTGGCAAACGTCTCTAATCCGCTTCGATCAGCATTTGTGGTTAAATGGAAATGAGGACAATGATACTGAACCTTTAGAATGTACTTTCTTTGTGCAAACAGCCATGGAGCTTTTATGGCAAACATTATATGTTTTGGCGTTAATTGTTTTAATATAAAACACATAAATTTCCGTGCACAGCCAGCTGTCAGGAAGCTACAATATGAAGTCATTGCTCCCAGGCTGTGCTCTGACAGGATAATGGATGCAGTGCAGACCAGAGACCAGCTCATAGCCAGGCCCCTCGCAGTGTCACTGGATTAACCAGCCCAATGTGGCTTCCAGATGAACAGATGTGCACAAGGCATGAATACACACACGCACACACACTGTTCTCACACAGCAACACTGGTTAGGGTTGTCTAAAGAAAACACACTTTTTGTCTTCTTATGTAAATTACAATCAACAGCGTCTGTTGCATGCTCATCAAGCACATGCTCTCTCTCAGCAGTGCCAGTCCTGAATGCTTTGCCAATTTGTATATATTTTTTTGTATATTTGTACAACTTCGCTGACATAATACAATTAGACCTAGTTATGTACCTATCCCCCGCTCCCTGTATGCTCTGTCACCATGTACAGCACACCCCTTTGAAGGAAATGGCTTCCACCTGAACCTCCAGCCACACCCTTCAAGAGTTCTTGGAGGAAATGGAGGGATAAGAAAACCCCAAGGGATAATTTAGCTCTAGAGTATAGACTTAGACCGAACACACTGCATGTTCGATTCACTCCAACATAATATATTATTTGTCATAGAAGTTACTTCAACCGCTGCACCCTCAGGACCTCAAGCTCATTGGCGCACAAGCTGAATCTAAACTGGAACATGCACATATCCATACTGTGGACTCAAATACCCTTTACTAATCTCTCACCAACACCCAATCCAACTCAGACATAATCACAGCTGTATGGATTTCCTCCAGTGCTGCAGAACAATGCCCTCTCTGTGTCCACAGACACACAGTGGGAAAGGTTTCTCTGGCTTTTAATTTTTAAGCTTCTGTTGTATTTTCCGCATATTGTTCTTTTTGGTCATACAGTATGTATCTATGTTTCACTTTGTTTGCCAAAATTCAAACAATTAAAAAGGTAGAGAGCTTTACATTTATTTCAAAAATAATGAAGCAATTGTTGTTGTTTATTTTCATTTAATTGAATACACTTTCTTTTTTTCAAAGTTTTCCTATGTTATTTCATCCCATCTTTTGACCTACTAGAATCTTTTTAATACCTAACCTTAGTCAGTGTTGTTGTTGAAATGTAGTACCTTCCTTCTATAAGCTGTTACTGGATGGTTAAGGTAATATAATCTCAGTAATAGTAGTGGGGCTATCTCTCATCGCCTTATTTCCAAGCTAAGCTTCTCGTAACACAGCAGCAGGTGTTACAGAGTGTGTGTGTGTGTGTGTGTGTGTGTGTGTGTGTGTGTGTGTGTGTGTGTGTGTGTGTGTGTGTGTGTGTGTGTGTGTGTGTGTGTGTGTGTGGATATGTACAGCTCCAGTCGAGCCTTACATTCCATCAACAACAGCGGCTACATTTCATTTTCTTTACTCTAATAAAATCTACTCTTTCAACACATGAAGTAACAACAAAATATGATATGCCTTGCAGAAGTTCAAAAACCTAAAGCTTTTATACACTTTACTATATTGTTGATACCCCAACATTTTGACTTTTTACTATCGTTATAATTTTTAGCCAATCAAAAAAAAAAAATCTAAATTATCACTCCCGCAATCGGACAGAAACTTTCAACCTCTATCGCAATTAAACGTGTGAGTTCTTTGCAGCTTAAGAACCATCATTTGCCTTGAAATATATAAACTGTACACATGCAAACACATACAGCACAAATCAAGCACTCATTGCCCAACTTGTGAAACCAGAGCTGCAATACATCCTCCGTTTCACCCGACTGCAACAAACACTTTCACTAAAAGCGGCAAAGTGACGTGTCAATCACTGATGAGCGTTTACCCCATCAGCAGGCTGACAATATACCTCACCCAGGGCCCGCAAGCTACCCAGCATGCCCAGACAGGAGAGGAGAGGAGGGGAGGGGTACAGGAGATGCTGACAAAATAAAAATAACCAATACAATTCTGAAGCTTTTGTCTTCCCTCCCTGCTTAAGAAATCCCTGACATCTTTGAAAGGCCATCTTTTGAATCAATCATCATGTGCCTTTTTTTGTGAGAAGGAAAGGGGGCAGCTAGGTGGATCGAGGAAACGGAAAAAGCCCGAGGGTCCACATAATTGGGATTATACAAAGCATGGCCTCTGCTGCCAATAAAAACCTGGCCAGGTGACAGGTGGAGGTTTACGCCGGGGTGAACACATTTAAAGGCACCTGAAGTACTTGATGACCTCACTTGATTGATAGGGATAATATTGCTAATGTGCAGGATGTGTAGAAGTTGGGAGGGAGTTTGGATGTAAAAAGGATGAAATAAAAACATTTTGCCATCAAATCCATTCAATGTTTTGGGTAAAGACTCACGCCTTCTTTCCACAGATGGAGCCTTTGTACCAGTTCCTACATGTGCTGAAGTACTTCTTCTTAGTCCCCTCGACCTGCTGCAGAGCGCACACATTGGGTCTGTAAGAGAAGAAGGAGGGGGACGGGAGAGTTAGGTGATGAGGGAGTGACAGAGAAAGTGAGAAGCAGAGGTAGGAGAGGCAGAAAGAAAGGTAAAGTGAAGAAGGAAGAACATTGTCATTCATAGATGCCAAGGCAGTACTTATCAACAATGAATCACTGAATCCGAGAAAACCTGAAGCCTGTAATTTAAAGTCAATTAAAGAAAGCATTGAAAAACATTTTTGAGCTAAACTCAGTAATTATTTTACAATGGACACTCCCAACTCAATCAATATTAAACAGCATATTAGGATATTGACATATTCTTTACAGCAGAAGATTGAGTGAATGTGGGAGAGGATATTGCATTTTCCAAGCCTTGAGCCAATGGCATTTGATTACACTCATCTGGAAACACAGCACTAATATTAAATCTAACAAACAAAGCACTTTATATGTGTACATATCTTTCAGCCTATTACTCTTCATGTGCAGAGAAATTGGTTGTATTGTTTAATCCCCAGTTCATTCTTCATAGAAAACTTAAAAAGCTTCCACACATCTTTAAGTTCATCATTTCTCTCTCCCTCACTTTCTACCCTTCCCTCCATCTCCCCCCCCCCCCCCCGACCTCCCTTCTCCTTACCCTTCTTTCCTGGCCCGGATGCGACTGTGGGTGACTATCTTGTCATAGGCTGAAGAATCCACTCTCCCTAGGGAGCAGAGTGCCACCAGCACTGAGGTCACGGCTAGCAGCTGATGCATCCTGGGGAGGTATCAGTCCTCTCTATTGCAGGGGCTCAAAACACACACACACACTTCTTGTATCCAAACACACACACACCCAACACAAAATACACAGGCGATATGGGAGTGCAGTTAGGGAGGGAGAGGATGCTTTTATACCAGCTCTCTAACACACACCCATAACCATCCACCCTCTTTTGGGCTCTCTCACTTTCTTTTCCATACCATTACGTCCCTCTCTTACCCATTTCCTTAGCCAAAATCCTCCAGCCTGCTTTGCTCAAGCTTAGTTTCTCCCCCTCCCTCACATTGTTTCACATGGATTTCTCATGCTTTCTTAACCACCATCACAGCCAGGAGCACCGAGGACACCCTGCGATTCAATTTGCTTTACACTCTTTGATGACAGTTTTATAATCCAACTATGGATTGCCTTTAAAAATATATTTCACTTTTATGTATTGCTGGGGTTTTGACCCATGAGTTTAAGAGTGATAGAGACTTTGGACAGGGACACACACTTACAGTAGAGATGGGAGCCAGAGCCTTTTCTTTTCAAGCTCCACTTTTGTGGAATCAGCTTCCAGTTTGTGTTCGGGCGGCAGACAGCCTATCCGTTTTTAAGAGTGCGCTTAACACCTTCCTTTTTGATAAAGCTTATAAAGGGCTGATTAGATTCAGCCCCTAGTTTTGCTGATATAGGCTTAGTTTGTCGGGGGACATCTTACTTCTTCCTTCTCTCTGTCTGTACCTGTGTACTCTCATGTTCCGATTAACCCAGCTTCCCCCAAATGTCTATCTTTTTGGTGTCTATATACGCCGGGATCCGGAGTCATGGATGATCCTGTTGCTGCGGTCCTGTGTCCTGGATCGCGAGCCCTGGATCTTGAGTCGTGGCTGTGCCTGTTGCTGCGGTCCTGGATCATAAGTCCTGGATGGATATCCTCATGGATTCATCTTCCTATTATACACACACATGCATTTCCTAACATTTGGACTACCTATGTTGTAAATGTATTATCTTTTCAATTTACACACGGCATCTATTGCACGTCTGTCCGTCCTGGGAGAGGGATCCCTCCTCTGTTGCTCTCCCTGAGGTTTCTCCCATGTTCCCCTTTAAACTGTGGGTTTTCTCTGGAAGTTTTTCCTTGTACGATGTGAATGTAACATTTGTGATATTGGGCTGTATAAATAAACATTGATTGATTGATTGATTGATTGATTGATTGATTGATAGAGATCCCATTACAGTTAATAGATGCAAAAAAAGAAACATTAAGATTCAGTAATTCACTAAAAGTAAATATTGCAAGCTCATGAACACAGGCAGTGAGTTCATCTTTAATACGTGTCTTTGGGACATTCAGAAACAAATTAAGTGAATTAAATTGGCTACAGTGTTTTTAATAAGCTAGAAAATAAGACTGTAAATCATATTCAAAGAGCTGGGGTGATATATCTTTTAGATGATAGGTTAACACGTTGCTTGGCAGGAGTTTAACTGTATTTTTGTCATCCTTCCAGTGGGATACTACTCTCATCCTCATTATTTTCACCAGTTGATCCATCCTTTCCTCCTCTAAACTCCCCTCTGGGCTTCTGCTTCTACTTCATCCTCCCTGCTGTCAAATTTGTCGTTTATCAACCTCTTCCCAGGCTCTAACTTCACCCTGCAGCTGTCTCTGTCTCCGATGTTGTAGCCAGATCTGATACAGCTTCAAAGGGAAAATCCATCATGACAAAAATGATCCTTGGACGTTGTCATGTACGGTCTTGATTTGTGAACAGGTATGCTTCTACATTTGAACAATGCAGGTAAGGTCTCCCTTGATGATGTTGACTCATTGAATCAAGAGCTTAATATGATTATTTACTTCACACATGTGACCACAAACACCCAGGTAAATGTTATGCAGTAAAACAGGGAGATTTTTCCTGAGGTGAGTTGTATTTATTTTCCCGATCCATTGGAAAATGAAGAAGATAGATTCTTTTTTTTTTTTTAAACAACTGAAATCCCATTTCTTACCAACAACACATCACATTATGTACTCACCCTTGAACTCGCATGACCCCTCTGATGAGGGGGAGGACAACAGAATGCAGCCTCCTCCATTTTTCGGACAGCTGTGTCTATGATGCTATCTTAACATTTATGACACACTTCAAATCCTGGGAACACACATATTAAGCCCAGACTGCCATTTACAGTAATTTAAACCTTATTTCCGTTGTGTTCCCTCTCCTACTTCAGGCTTCTCTGAGATCCCCACACACATAAACTAGTAACCAGACACAAATACACCTACACTAGCCTACATGGATTTTCAATTAGATTGTAAGTATTGAATGCCTGATTTCATTTGTCTCTGTTGTGTCAGCTTTCCATCCACTAACCCTAACCTTTAAGATGTATTGAAGTCATGTTGAGCCCCATGTGTCGCCCTGTTGTTTCCCACAGGACAGCACCACTCTCCTCTCCAGGTTGCAGGTGGTTTCTTTGGTTTCGAGATCCTGCAGAGAGATATTGGTAGAGAACAAGCAGAGAACAGGAGCTCCATTCTTTAATGACATCTCCCCCTAGTGGAACGGACTTGTCAGCGCAGCCATATGCAAGGCCTCTGCAACTAGGATAACACAAAGTGATCAAAATGTCAAGTAACTACAATACATCAAAAACTTGTATCAGTGTTTTCTGTCTCACATTATAAGAATGGAAGGTCTGGATTTATATACCTGTATGTTTCAGGGACATAAAAGTGTGTGTCTGTTAGTTCACAGTTTACTTCAAGTCTCCATGTTTTTCTCTTTATTACATCTAATTAGCATAATGTGAGCCTTCTGTCAGCGTGTGGATTCTCTCTTTCCTTGGGACACCTTCAGAGAAATCACATGAATATTCATTAAGTCACACATCAAGTTTTGACTAATATGAAGCGTTACACACAACATATATTTCTAAATAAGGTTTCAGAATAGTTTTAGCGCTTTCTGCATTTCGGAGCAGTTGGAAGATCCAACGAAAACCCAGGAGCATTTTACTTCAGCCTTTTGATCACACACATCATCTGTTGAATATTTAACTTGCTCACTTGTTCGCCGATTGAACTTATTGAAGTACAAATAGGAAAGTGAAAAAAAAAGCAATCAAAAGATAACTTCAGTGAAAAGAAAAATGTCCAGTCTGAAGGAGAACACAGGGAACATGTGGCTTTCATGCAACAGGGTTTGATCTGTGTCATTGGGTTCTGTTTTAACAGTAGAAACGTGTTGTGAAGTTGTTGGAAAATAAGTTTTCTGCCAGGCATTACTTCTTCTTCTTTGTAGGGTTCATAAGAGAAGAAAATGACCTATTTGTCTTTCATTACACCTTTCTCCACTTACAGAAAGTCATTACTAATGGTTTGGATTTCTGGATCGAAAAGCACGTTCACACGCACAAACACTCATCTCTGAAGGACTAAACAAAAGCCAGAGCTAATACCCCAGTTTCACAGGGAGAAAGAAAACACTTAGCAAATGTTTGGAATCTGCTAATTAGCTTCTAGCACGAAATGTAACATTAATTACACATTTGAGACATTCATTAACAGAAAACAGAAAGAAAATCACACATTCATCATATCGCTGGTTCATCATCACCCTGCTCCTAATTTATTGAGCAGGACTCCCAAATGTCTGCAATCTAATTATGAGATTCAATTAACAAACTCATAGGACCAAAAGAGAGGAAATTATCAGTTTTAGGAAATAATTACTTTCCAATCTTCATGGATGAGACAAGATGAAATGAATTTACTCCTAAAATCGAAATCCTTGCAATGTTAACCCAGAGCTTTGATTACCCTTGCTCTGATAACCACATTTAAAACACTTACTATATTTAGAAAACATTATCATTGTTGAACTTAAATCTTAACTATGTTATCTAAGATACAATATTGTCAGCACAAAAAGTTAATTTATTGATATATATTCATGGTTCTATCCGTCTGCAATCTGTAGAACAAGACAAAAAATACAAAAAAAGAAGTATACATGTTTCTTGTTTTAATCTCTATCATCTAACATCATTCATTCAAACATGACATCTAAAAGGTACAAGTTAAAAACAGAAAATCTCTTCAAAATAACATTTTATTTTCTGTAGGAGTGAGAAAACATGAATAATATGGTTCTTTTAATGGTTTATAGGCTGTGTTCATATTGTATTTATCTTATTGTTCCACGTTTTCTACTGTACATACGAGAATACTGGTCATGAACTGTCACCATTAAAAGTACGTATGAGTATCACAATCCCAGCTTTCTGCATAGAAAAACATTGACAGAATTGTTGTTGCACGATCAGAGCTCGACACATCTTTGAGATACTGTATGCCAGTGTAAAGTGTGCAAAGTGCAGAAACGGACAAAGTAAGGCAGAGAGTTGGGTCTAAAACAGAACACATCTATTGCTCAAGTGAGATAAAGGAAACAGGGCGTGAAGCGGTGTAGAGATAAACGGAAGGAAAAAGAGGTAGAGAGAGAATGATGAAGGACAGAAGAAAGTGAGTATACTTAAAATGAAGTCAGGTAAGGGAGAGGGGGTCAAATATAGAGGAAATGATCAGTTTCAGAAAATAATTACTTTCCAATCATCAGGGATGAGATAAGATGAAAAATCCTAAAATCTAAATCCACGTGTACCTTTGCTGCATCTCCACTGCTAATATATTTAAAACACAAACCAAAGGCCTCCCTGAGTCTCCAAAGATCAAGTCTGATCATTCGCTTTATAATAACTCAATTAATATCGTCCTCAGTTGAAGCTGATTGTCTGTCTTCATTCCAACATTAGTTAGCCGGTGGTTATTTATTCAGGTAGTTTCACATCTTATGCTTCTTCTTCGGATGACCCTGACAAACATCCAATAGCTACCGAGTCACTGCAGGTTAAACTCTCTTTATCCTTTTCATCAGCTCATATTTTCCCCCCTTCATCGGAGCTGCTGTTGGTGTTGATGACCTCACTGTTTTCCTCCTTGGCCTCGTTCACTGCACTTTCCTCCTCCCTCTCCGTCAGCAGGAGTCCTCTCTCACCTATCTCCTTTTGCTCTCTGTCTCGCTGCTCTGCGTCAGAGACCTCCGGCC